GCACCTGTTGGTTTGCCCATTGTGTGAACTGAAATGTTGGTGTCTCGGAAAACTCAGATTCTTTATAAGGACTATCTTCAGTGAAGTTTACATCATGAGTTTCTTTGTATTTTGATTTTGCATCTCTTTTCCCATGAGAAAAATCATCACAACTTGCATTTGTACAAAGGCTACATTGAACTGATTGTTCATTTTGAATTTCTCTGCACTTAGCTATTTGATCTTTTTTCCACTGAGAAAAATCCCAGCTACTTGAGGCAGTAAATGGACTATCGGTATAATCATAACAACTTTCGTCTTGCACTTCCTTGCATTTAGCTATCTGAACTTGTTTCCACTGAGAAAAATCACAGCTTCTTGCAGCTCTAGAATGGTTACCGGTATTTTCATCACAGATTTCATCTTGAATTTCCTTGCATTTTGCTATTTGATCTTTTTTCCACTGAGAAAAATCCCAGCTACATGAAGCTGCGGTAAATGGACTACCGGTATATTCATCAAAGCTTTTGTCTTGAATTTCCTTGCATTTAGCTATTTGATCTTTTTTCCATTGAGAGAAATCAAATGATGGACTCATTTCACTTTCCACTGGTAATGACTGGGTCTCTTCTTTAAGGATGCATAGAGGTAAATTATCACCACTTTTCAAAGTGCGGCATTTCTTGCGTGGAGGGCCAGAAGAAGCAATCACAAAGTCACTGTCTTCAAATAACCTACCCTGCTTTGCTGAGTTAGTTTCAAGACACTCCCAAAAGTCTTCAAAAGACTCATCCAATTGCGATATCCCACTGACGTTCAAATCATTGGAGCAATCCACTTCTTTTTCTTGATTAGAAGGTGCTTCTGTCAAATACCCTGTGAAACAAAAAAAATATTTTGACCCAGATGTACTAGTATCAATGGCATTATTACAACTAGATCAACCACCACATGAGGGTTAGCTTAGTTTGTAGACAGCCACCTTCAGAGAGGGATGTTGAGGATTTTGATCCCTGGGTTGTACATTGTACTAATACTCAGGGCCCAGCTGTTTGCAAAATAATTTCCCCAAGAAAGGACCCTGGAAACAAGGTAAGTTTCTCAAAGAAAAATTTTTATCATAACCCAGAGTCAACTTTTAGTTTATATTACAGGCCTTGAAATAATGGCCAGTCAACAGACACTGTCCAGCCAGAATGGCGACTTGACCAGCGAAAAACTTCACGCGCAGGTCATGTTGAACAATTGTGCACATGCTCATTCTTAGATAAACGGTCAAATTTTTACCTGTAACTCTTAGATTTTGTCTCCTTGTAAAAACACAATCACATTCACCAATGGAAAATTACACAAGGACTGGTTAACCTTTTTTCCCAATAATATGACAGGTCAGAAACAAGACTTGACTGAGCAAAAAATAATATCTTTGAATGGTTGTTGTGTCTGCAACCTTTTGAAGATTATTTTGAGCCCTGGGATTCTTGTTGTTTTGTTCAAAAAGATTTTTTATTTTAATTATAAATAGTTATTTTATAATAACAGCTGAGTCCAAACATCAAATTGTAGGAAAAAAGCAATTTGAAGGAATATGCTCTTGTAAGCACTCAGATATGAATTTAAATTTGATACTACCATAAGTTATCTTTAGCCTTTATTGAGCAACAGCTAGGGTCTAAAAACAACTGAGAAAGAAGGTAGAATAAGACACCGCATTTGCCCTGTAAAATGGCTTGACCTGCTACATTGCTACCTTAAAGGTGAGGCGCCTGTTAGTATTGTTGCTTTAAGAGCAGTGAAAATTTAGGGTGTTGCTTTTAAGCAAATATGGTACACTACATGCAAACCTACAGAGGATAGTGGGTGGTATACATATACATGTAGAGTATTTTGATATCTTTACATCAACAAGACAACATGCTTGAAATTTTAAAGGGATTCCATAGGGGGAGAAAGGGGTGGGGGGGGGGGGGGG